CTAGGCATTCCTAGTAACAAATCTTTAGGTGCCTAGAAAAATTTACTGATAAAAAAATAGATGCCTAGCAGAATATGTATGGATTGCGCATTGGGGTTTAGACATTTAAAATGAGCTGTGACTCACTGGGATTTAGATATGTAAAACACGAGATGCTTAATGCACAGTAGACTTATTCTACTGTGCATTAGTGTGCACATCAAAAACTGTGCTAATACATTAATGTGCAGTAGGATTAGTCTACTGTGCATTGTCACACAAAGCGTGTGATGGCGCTAACGCACAGTACAGCAGCTTACTGTGCATTTATTTAGTACTTAATTATACAAGTACTATGTTTAATGTGCGGTAAGCACTGCGCATTAATGAAGGTGTAGACACACCCAGGATTTGGGTCCTTAGATAACAAGAGAACTTCTCAGGATTAGGCCCTTAGTGAGTTAGATACAATGTAGACTAGATATAGCATGCTTATCATTAATGCTTATATTTTTCATCCCTATCTCATCTGCTACAAGATTTTGGTTTTTAATTGTCAAGTGTAAGTACAGGAATAACAAGTTTCAGAGAATATTGGAAAAACAAGCTGAACAAACTTAAGTTTGGAACAGAGATTTGAAGGAGGGAGAGCAGTTGTTTCCAGGGTTCGAATTACACTCTGACTCTTGCGGGGGGGTCTGCAGTAGTGGCAGCTGAAAGGACCCACCGCCACCTGGGTTGCTTAGAAAGGCACGGGGCGGGCCAGGGGCTCTCATCTCTTAGAGCAGGGTTCTCGTCTCTTATGGGGGGCCCCCCTGAGCCCCTCCGTATTTCAAACCCTGGTTGTTTCTAAAAAAATAAATCAGAATGTAAAGAATTAAAACAGATAAAGTGAAATGTCACAGAACAGTACATGTTCAATGGAAAGGGAAATAGGAAATTTGCAGCAGGTATTTTACAAACTTCAGATATGTTTTAAATTAGCAAGATAAGGAACCACGTGATGGCAGCACAGCATAAGAAATAGCAGCTCCTATACTTTTAGTAAAGATGAGTAGGTGGAAAAACAGTTTTTATTACCATCAAAAAAAGAGAGGTGATTAACCATAAAAAGATGCATCCTTTGTTAAAAATGCTCAATCTGCATATGAATCTCAGTATATCCAAGAAATGGTCGAGTAACAAAATGGTATAATCCTGTTCACAGCTTGAGTCACATCTTTTACTCAGAGCAGAGTTCAGGTTTATTATGTGCATGAATGTTCTGTTTGTTCAAAGTAATTCAAAGTTGGCAATAATAATACAAAAGGATGCTATATAAATTGGTTAATGGACTAGAATTAAGTGTAGCCCACTGAAATTAAGAGGTACCAATCAATTTTCAAGCTGGAAAAATTAGAACACTCAGTCTCTTTTCATATTTTCCTCTCCCCAATTCCTGTCTGACCTCTCTTCCCCCAACAGCTACAGTTCTACCTCTTCCAGTTTGTATTCTCTGCTGCTGTTAATACTAGCTATTACACTATTTGCCTCTATTGTCATGAGGCTTTGAACTGCCCTATTCCATCGGTGTTTCCACAATTATCCACAGGGTGCTTTCCTGGACCAGAGCACTAGTAGATTGTTCCATTGGGTGAATATTCCCCAGATCTGCACCTTGTTACCAGACTAATTATTTTGTATTGATCTATATTGAACTCTGTTTGACTCTAGCTATTTAGCTAGACCCGTTTAGATGGGTCAAATCATTCTGAGTTATCTTGGGTTGTTTCTCATTATTGTCCCCGCTTCCAGTGTTAGTATTGTGTGCAATCCTAAATCTATGGTTTTCACTAACAATGTTCAAAGAATGTATAATATTAATATCAATGATATTCAACCCTGCAGAGCCAGTGAAGCATTTTGTGACTGAATGTGCATATTCATAACAATAGGGCATGTCTTAGGATCATAGGAAATTAGGGCTGGAAGTGACCTCACAGCTCAAGACAGGATCATCCCTGACTACACTCAACCAAGTATCATATTTTATTAAGAAAATAAGACAGGAATTGGGAGGAGCAAACTACTCAGCCAAGTGTCTGTCTAACCTGCTCTTGAAAATTTTCAGGAATGGCGATTCCACAGCTTCTCTCATTAGCTTGTTCCAATGCTTGACCACCCTCACAGTCAGAAAGTTCCTTTTAATCTCCAAGGTAGTGCATACATACAGGCCCCTCCCAGCTGAAGCACTCAAAATGGTCCATGCTATTGTGGAGCTCTGCAGCTTGGAGGCTGGAGAGCAGAGATCCCAGCCTTTTGAGCCTGAGGCTTGGGAGGTTCCTGAGGACTGTTGAATAGAGAGGGAGCTTTTTGGCTCTTTGCCACCTACCACTGCTCTGGTTTTGCTTTGTGCTCTATGCCAGTGGTGTAACAAGTGGGGAGCAACATGGGCAGCCATCCCTAGCATCACTGTTTTTTGTTTTTTGGGGGTTTTTTGGGAGCGGGGGTGGGGACACAACTGCAACCAGCAGCTGCATGTTTGTGTTTGTGAACCACAAGTTGCCACTTCTGTTTTGCCCTAGGCACCCAGCTGTGTCCCTACACTGATGCATGTTGCCACTCCAGACCTGGTTAGTTTTACCTCCAGGACCTTGTCAGTTACAGGAGGAGCGCTATCATCCTGGGAAGTCTGAAATGGACACATGCTGTTCCTTCTGCCCAAGGCAAAGTGCCATGGCCTACCTGGGTAAGCTTTGTAGCTTTTTCCAACTTGTCTGACAGGCAACAGCATAGCAGTGCTGGGCATCATGACCAAGGCAGTGGAAAGGTGCTTCCTTGAGATGTGCTACCTGCTCTCACCAACAGAAATAGGCCTGAAGATGTTGCCATACAGGATACAATGGAGAATGGTCTCTGGGACCATGTACCAGTGCTTCTTCACCACAAAGCTGAGCGGTGACTATTGGGAGCACATAGTCCTGTGGATGTGGGTAATGTCCATTGGTAGCAATACTCTATATTAAGCCAGCTGTTATAAGCCATCCATGTATATTTTATACATTAAAAATTAATTTTACATATTATTTATTACATATTTATTTAATGTAATATAAGCCAGCTAAGTGTTCATTCTGCCCATGTACCACAGGGGCTGCAAGTGGCAGTGGTTCTGGGGAGTCTGCGTAGACCCTGCAGCATGCAGCCCAGGACCTGTGACCTGTATGGCATGTGGCCCCAGACCAGTTTGAAATTGGGCAGCCCTGCCCTAAATTGTATAATCTTTGAAACGTCTGGAGTTACTGTAGCAGAAAATGATGTGGCTATGCCACCTGCTGATCTGTCCACAGAACTACACAGAGTTAAAAATTCTATAAATTCACTGCTCTTGCTGGTACCTGGTGTAAATCTACCCTGCCTTCCACTTGACTTCAGACTAACATACCTACCTACATCTCTGTGGTAAGTCGGAACATACTAGAAAAATTCATTTAAGACTATCCATACAAAACATTCAGAAGTACCACAGGATGTACGCTTTGGAGAAGTACAGACTGACAGCCCAATTTTGTCTGTGCTCCTAGGCAGAACTGTCAGTGAAGTTCCTGAGCTAGTTCTAGGCACAGAATATTGAAGACTTGTCTAGACCACTGCTGCAGCTAGTTCTGGGGGGCTGGGGCTGAGCATACCTCACACGCCTCAGTCTGCAGGAATGTCCAAAAAGGAAACGTCTTCAGCAAGGCTCTTCTAGACTTATCCCTTGGTACCCACTCCCAACCCCTGGATCTCCATTGGATCTGGTAGTTGCCACAGAAGATGAAATTGGAGCAATCTCTGGCAAACATCTGGGTTTAAAGCATATCTGGATGGACAGGAACAGCCCCATACCCAGGGAACCCAGCACTGCAACTATATAGTCAAGCCCATTGAACAGAAGGCTATTTTAGTTTTAACATTTATGAAAGAAGGAAGATATTTTTAGGACAATTTTGCTAGCAGTGATGATAATTTACCAGAGCTGTGAATGATTTAATAGATGGTAAGGATAGAAGGAACTATTACCCTCACTTATTCCTGCATAGCACAGACCATAAACTTTCCTGAACTATTTCCTGTACTAATGTAAATTTTCACCACTTGAAATATATGTACATAGTTGAAACTAGTTTAAAACTGTTTATATTTAATGAGACATGATTTACACGTTGTTAAATTTAGATGATTAAAAATAAGCAGTTCACATGAGATACCCAGTTACTAGCTTAAATAAATTCATGCAGGTGTTTTGCTTCTCATTCTTCAATTAAGAGAACAAAATGGGTGCTTCCAAACAAATGAATATTTTTTTCAAATATTTTCGACAGCTTGTATGAATAACCCAAAGAACAAAACATGTTGCTAACAGCTGAATGGGCTCCAACTCTGTATCAGTTACTGACTGAAAGTCTTGTGAAATTCTTGGATCAGTTTATACAGTAGAAAGAGCGTATAGAGAGGATTATTAGGTGTTAAGTTTCTCCATCTTTTGAAATTAGTTTTCTGGTATGTGCAGGTCTGAAATTATTATTTTTTCTCCCTTTACTGTTAAGTGTTGTGAAGGTATACCAGATGCACTTTCAAACATGCTTCAGACTGTGGGGATTGTGCATGGAGGGCACCACAGACACCACAAACTTGCTGTTCCAACACCGGTCCCTGGAGCATGCATGAGATGACTCTTGTGCAGAAGTCTAGCTGGGCAGCTAGGAAAAATGTTTCTCTAGGTCAGAGGATGATCCTAAATTAAAGCCATTATTCAGGGTCTTTGGAGCAGTACTTTTCTAGGTAAAGGTATATGACAAAGTCCAGTCCTTGCTCAGCCCTTGTTATTTCCTCATATATGGGATGAAATCACAAGGTAGGGTTGGGGACTGAGTCCAATCCAGAAAAGCAAAGATATGGAGGTGCCAACTCCTATACAAGGAGGATTACACCCCGGAATAACATTTAAGGCAACTAAATACCTTCCTGGGTCAAGTCTACAGGCTCGACGCAAAGCCTGCTACAATCAATGAGGCTTGCAAGGTGCTTTGGGGACAAGCAATCTCTTTTATCAGACCGACTGAGCAACCGCGTCCTTAGGCCAACAGGGCTACGACCGAAAACCCTACATCGGTGAGGCTTTACATTTGGGTCAAGGTTGAAATGTCAACCAACGAAGGGCCTCGGGGGCGGGGGGGGCGTTAAACAAACGCCTTCGTCTGTACACTTCGTGCTCGGCACTAGCAGCGGGGACGTCGGGAGGGGCAGGCCCGCAACCTCGCCGCCGCGTCACCCCCCGCGGGGCTCCTTGAGGCCCCGCCTCCGCCTCGCGTCCCGCCCCCCGCCCACCGCCCCCAC